GGGTAATATACAAATCTTATCACTTAACTTTATTCTCACTCTTATTTTACTCACTAAAATTTAGACATTTTCAATTTACTGATTGAACTTTCCATTTGCTTTTATTTTGGTCACCCGAGAAAAATGGATGAGTGACATGGCAGTCACGTGGGGTAACATGGACTGCTTTTTCCTGACATGGTATCTGCTTATCATTCAAATCATTTCCTTTATATTTTCTTTTTTTGATTTTATCTACCAAAGACTAAAGTTTTACAATTTCACCATTGTATCACGTTGGTACTAAAATCTTCATTCTTTGGTATTTTCTCAGAGCACCTAAGACACTAACAAATCCACCTCATCCTCTTCTATAACTTTATCAATTTAGATTTTTTCTAAATTCACTTTAAAACTCATGAAATTTAACATGAAACTTAAAACTTGTGAAACCCTAAACCACTCCAATTTAAAAGTCCCACCATTTGATCAGCATGGAATCGAGATACAAAATTTAGCTCCCTCTGCCTCTTCTCAGTCGAGATTTAGAAAAAGATGTTTCATCGACAAGAAATTAAAGGGATTATAAAATTATGGGTCCAAAAAGAACAAGAAAGTTTTGAGTCCATTTCACATTTTTTTAAATGAAAATATTCGATCATATCACTGTTAAGTATTTAATAAAGGAGTGATCAAAATATAAGTTAATCAAAAGTTTAATGAATAAATTGAAGATTTTTAAATTTTATTAACAAAAATAAATTTAAAAATATTGAACGATAAATTTTAGAATATATCTTAAATTTCAAAACCTTCAACTCGAATCATAAAAGTATTCCAAACTTCTCATCACGTGAAAGATGCTTTTGTTGATATGAGTTTTATAGGGTTTGGTAAAGAATTTAAATTGGTGTTTTTGTGAGAAAATAAACATGGTTATTATCGAGAAATTATTTTATAGATCCGGCTCATCACATCATTTATGATTTTAGCGTATATGATCCATCATTCTTTATTTACACGTAAGAAAAATGTGAAGATTCACCTAAAAAAAATAAGATGGACAAATGTTATTGATTATGACCATGAATGACGTGGTGAGCTGAGTCTATCTAATAATTTTTCGCTATTGTTGTCTCCCGAATCAAGAGATAAAAGAATTCTGATAAATATAAGTAATCGGGTGGTAATATATAAATTTTTAAAAGAGAAAAATCACCAACATATAATATAAAATTCACTATAATATCAGCGTCACGAAGACTTGTAACTATAATACCTCATTCAAATTTTAAAATTTCGTCTTATCAAAACCCTAATCTGTATTGTCAGTAATTAAATGACAAATAATTTCATCAAAATAAGAAGAAGCAATTTGAAGCAAATTTAAGAATTTAATATTGCTTTGGGCCCACTTTCAAAAATTCTATATTATTAAGGGTTTAATTAAGAAATAAACCTTAAACTTATCTAACATGTCTTGATTTAATAGTTGAAAGTCTTTTTAAGGGTGTTTGTAACAAGGGTCAAAACAAGATTTAGGATATAATTAAGAGGCGACATTATTGTTTAAGCACAAAAAAAAACCCCAATTGAATAAATTATTTCATTTGAAAATTACAAATATTTAAAAGTAAATTCTAAAATATTTATTGTTTTCTTACTAAAGAATTGTACATATTTTTTAGAATATGATTAAGTTTATTCTTATATTATGCTTGAAATTATTCTACTTTCTAAACATTTTTTTTCAAAAGTAAATTCCCATATCCAAGTACTTTAGAATTTAATTCCAAATATATTTTTCCATGAATATTATATGATAATGTGAAACATTTTCTTTTTCTTGGATTCTTTGATTCTTGGAAGAGTATCTTTGAAATTTGGTTGATTTTGAGTCTTTCCCACCTCACACATCACCATCCCCATTGACCAATTGTTTTACTTTTAACTCTTTGATCTTTCTTTTTAAATTAAATATCATCTAAAAATCTTATTTCTTGAATCATCAAGTGACCTAAGTGGTACAAAGAAATTTTGATCTCTCGTAAGGTCTTAGGTTCACTACCTTTTAATAACCGCTAATTTATTAATGAAAAATGGCGAGTTTGAAACATTTGAATAATTAGTTAACCATTTTGTAACTTTTAATAGTCGAAAGACTCAACAGAGTAATGCTTTATAGTCAAGTGATCATTTTATAACTTTTAATGAATGGTAATTCAACAAAGCAGTGTCATATGTACCATTTGTATATTTTACCCAAAAAATAATGGCACAATGACTATTAAAATAGTGTTATAAATTCAATGTTTTATAGTTCATGACCAAAATGAAATATCATTAAAGTTTATTGACTAATAGTGAATTTACCCAAAAGTAATATATAAACAATTAATTGGATTTGGTGGATGGAAAGATTCTTAATGATATAGAAAGAAAAGAAAAGAAAAAGAATCCAATGGATGTAAAAGCTTTATGTCCCACACATCTATTCCTTATCTTAAAGTTTCAGCATTCAAACCCCCTTTGATTTCAAATTAGGTTAAAGTATATGGATATATACTATTTCGATTATAGAGTGTTATTTTGTTGAATTTATGAACTATTAAAAATTATAAAACGGTCATCAAATTATTTATATATTTCGAACTCATACTTTTTCGTTAAAAAATAATGACAGTCTGAGCTCGACGTTAACTTGTTGACTAATATGTAATAGTCGTTTGAGATTTTAGAATAATATTTTATCATATCACAGTCAACAGTAGATTAACATTAAGCTCAGTCTACCGTCAAATTTTTAACAGAAAAATAATTAGTTTAGAACATATAAATAGTGAGTGATCATTTTATAACTTTTTATTACTTTTATTTAATCAACAATAGTATGAATTAGTTATCGGTTATGTTGATGAAAAAAGTTGACACTTTAAACGTTTAGATTCGAGTTTTCATTAACTGTAAATATATATATATATATAATTATTTAAAATTATTTTAAAATTATATATATATATATATATGATGTGATTATACAAGATAATATATATTTAAAATTATTTTAATCTATTAATAATATACCATTCTGTAGAGATAATTGTTTGAACTCGAATCTTCTAAAAAAATAATATTTTCTTTTATTAACGAGGTCACTCAATGTATTTTAGTTTAAGTTTAGATATCTTTCTGCTACCAATCTATATTTTTGTGCACTATAATGTTTGATTGAAGTTGCAATTATATGATTATATTGAATGTAATTTGAAATTAACTACAACTATAATTAATTATAATATACGATTAAATTTATAACTAAAATTTATCTGAATTGAAGATGTTCATATATTTAACGAATCGACTTATAAAATACATTATTCTTCATTGAACTTTATTCTCTCTTTTATTTCATTTATTGTATTTTTTTAATGTACTTACTAAATTTTCAAATTGTTCATGTTTTGATCGCTCTGAATTATTTTATTATTGTTTTGGTATAATGTCGCATTTTTATTTTATTTTACATTATTTTATATTAAATAATATAATAAAAATGCTACATCATATCAAAATAATACTAAAATAATTTAAATTGATCAGAATAAGAACAATTCGAAAGTTAAGTGAGAAAATTAGAAAAACTAAATATACAACGAATAAAATAGGAAATAAAATAAAATTAAGTGAGAAATAATGTATAGAATTAAAAAAAAACTTAATATGAAAGATACATTAATATCAATTTTTATATTTCCTTTTAGGGTTAATTATAAAATAAGTGTTCAAACTATAGCGCTTTTCACGAATAGGTATTTGAACTATTTTTTTAATGATTCAAATGTTTAACATTACAAACGTTATCACTTTAGGTGTCCGGGCCGTAAACACCGTTAATTTTATCCATTAAATGACACATGTCACATTCTGATAAGTTTAAAAAATTTATTTAAAATAAAAAGGTTAAAATTATATTTATTTTAATAAAATACAAAAATTTCAAAATAACCTTACAACTTTGAAAATCTTCATTTCAACCACTAAGACCATCGACCTTTCTCGTTGACGAAGCTCCACTCTACCTCACCTTCCTCGACAATCAATAACCCCATGAAATTGCAACCAATCGACGGTCAATCGATATTTTGTACCCGCGAATCTTAGGTTGACGATCGTATCCCATGCGATCCCGACGACCAATTGGTGACAACTATGGCGGCATATGACTAGGAATATGGTAGGGATTACATTGGCGGAAATGGTCGGAAAAGTCGAAAGCGGTGGATTTGGATTAGAAATTTAAGATTTTTAGGGATTTGAGGTTTTTAATAATTTAAGAGAAATTGAGATTTTTTTTATAAATTTAATAATATTTTTAATTATTTATTTAAACATATCAAAATTATTTGAATGTAATAATATCACTTAACAAAGAAAATTAATGATCATTACAATCTGAACGCCTAAAATAAAAATATTGATAAATTTTAGACACTTGAATCATTTAAAAAAATAGTTTAGATATCTATTCGTAAAAAAATGCTATAATTTAAACACTTATTTTATAATTAAATATTCTTTTTGTTTGTTGAATTATAAACATAATTACTGTTAGGGAAAAACAAAACAAAAAGCCATTTGTTTTTGTAATTTCTTGAAGTTAAATTAAGGTAAAAGGATGAGTGGACTCGGACAAACAGGCGAGTGATGGCCGAGATACGTGACGACGCGAAAGCGACTTTAAAACCCCAAACACCGTAAACAGAACCTTAGCCTTTAAAATCTCCTTTTTTATTCAATTTTCACTCTTCTCAAGGAAACATATTTTTTTATTCTTTCATTTTCTCTCATGCCAAACAACACCAAATGCTTCTTCTTCACTCGAACACTTTAATAATTAATCAAACAAACAAATAATTCACTTTACCCTCTTTCTATATATATATATATATCAATTCATAGATCCTTCTCCATTTCTCTCAGCTTCAACACGCTATAGAATCATAATCTTAAGGAATCGAAAGAGAATAAAAATGGGTTCGGTTCCTTCAGAACTGAGCTTAGATTTTAGACCAGAATTTGTACCCAAAACGATCAGTAATTTCCTCAGGGAGGTTTCATTGATCGGAACCAGTTCCGATAAGGCTTCGAGACTCGAATCTTTTGTCAACAAATTGGAAGAAGAAATGAGAAAGATCGATGGTTTTAAACGTGAACTTCCTCTTTGTGTGCTCCTTTTGAACGATGGTTCGTTTCCTCAATCAAATTAAAATCTCACGTTTATTGGGATTTCTGTGTGATTCATTTGAATTGATTCAATGGTGATTTTGGTTATTGTTTGATGGCAGCGATTTTAGCTTTGAAAGAGGAATCAATGCAATGTGTGGGGAGACGAGTTGAACCGGTTTTAGAAGAATTCATGCCATTGAAGGAGGATAATCACAGTGAAGAAGATTCTAACAAGAAAAACGATAACGATTTCAATTGTAATAAAGATAAGAAAAACTGGATGACTTCGGTTCAGCTATGGAACACTGATGATGACTATAGTAAGTGTTGACGAAAACGGGTAAAGAAAACGAAAGAACACGAGAATTTTACGAGGTTCGGCAATGTGCTTACGTCCTCGGTGCCTAGGCGGCGCTAGAAGTTTTATTCAATGATATTTTAGGTCTAGGTTACATCTCTATTTATAATAGAAAACCCTGGTACATAATTACAAAATCAACCCTGTACCGTACCGCGGGGGCTGCGCCCCCACACCCCCAACCCACATAATTCGTAACCCCACAACGAGACTTTTTATGAGCCATACATAACAAATCTCCACCTTGGCGAATATCCTGCCCCTTGGAAACTTCAATGTGGGTTGGGTTACCTTGCTTCTTTAACAACTCGAAACATTCAACAAGTCCAAGCAATGCTTGAACTTGTCTGTCGTAACTGGCTTGGTGAACATATCAGCGGCATTCTCATTAGTATGTACCTTCTGAAACAAAACCTCTCCAGATGCAACCAACTCTCTGATCTTGTGGAACCTTACATCAATATGTTTAGTTCTAGCACGATACACCTGATTCTTAGCCAAGTGAATAGCACTTTGATTATCACAAAGCAACTGAACTCCACCTTGTTGAACACCCAACTCCTTCACTAAACCAGTAAGCCATAAAGCTTCTTTTGCAGCTTCAGCCGCTGCCATGTATTCAGCTTCAGTTGTAGATAGTGCCACGACAGATTGAACAGTAGACTTCCAGCAAATAGGCCCTCCACCAAGAGTAAACACATACCCTGTCGTAGATCTTCTATTATCCAAGTCACCTGCATAATCTGAATCCACATATCCTACAACCAAAGGATTATCCCGCTGACTCCCAAAAACAATTCCATGTCCCACAGTACCCTTTAAGTACCGAAAGATCCACTTGACTGCATCCCAATGTTGCTTACCAGGTTTAGACATGTACTTACAAACTTGACTAACAGCATGAGCTAAATCAGGACGAGTACATACCATCGCATACATCAAGCAGCCAACAGCATTAGAATACGGAACCTTTGCCATATTTTCAGCTTCCTTATCTGTCTTAGGGCACTGTTCTGATGAGAGCTTAAAGTGATTCGCCAATGGAGTGCTAACTGGTTTCGCGCTGCTCATCGCAAACCTTTCTAGCATTTTCTCAACATAACCCCGTTGAGATAGCCGCAGTTTCCTTGAGTCTCTGTCCCTGCAAATTTCCATTCCAAGAATTTTCTTTGCAGCACCTAAATCTTTCATATCAAATTCCTGACTCAATAAAGTTTTCAAACCGATAACATCATCCATGTTCTTCGCAGCAATCAACATATCATCAACATACAGTAATAGAAAAATAAAAGAACCATCATCAAGGCTCTTAACATAGACACAACAATCATACTCACATCGGTTGTAGCCAATCTTGATCATATAGGAGTCAAACCGTTTATACCACTGTCTCGGAGACTGTTTTAACCCGTACAAAGATTTCTTCAATCTGCAAACTAAATGCTCGTTTCCAGGTTGAGTGAAACCTTCAGGTTGCCACATGTAGATATGCTCCTCTAAATCACCATGCAAAAAAGCAGTTTTAACATCCATCTGCTCTAAATGCAAATCCCAACTAGCCACCAATGCAAGTACTGCTCGGATTGAAGTGTGCCTGACCACAGGAGAAAAGATTTCATCATAATCAACTCCTTTCTGCTGTGAAAAACCCTTCGCTACCAAACGAGCCTTGAACTTCTCCCCCTCTTTTTCTGTTACTGCTGGTTTCTTCTTATACACCCATTTGCAACCAATCGGCTTCTTACCCTCAGGAAGGGGAACTAACTCCCATGTGCGATTGTGATTCAAAGACTCCATCTCCTCAACCATGGCTGCCATCCACTTGTCGTTTTCCTGACTAGTAACGGCATCATGAAAAGTAACTGGATCATCACTGCTAACAGTAAGTGCAAAAGATACCAAGTCTTCAAAACCCAATCTGTTCGGAGGCTTTATATTCGTCCGTCTCACCCTGTCTCTGGCGAGACTATAATCCTGCAAATCATCCGTAGTGGAACCACCAGAAGTCGGTTGAGAAGTTTCTGGTTTCTCAACTGGAAACTGCTCGAAATCTACCACTGTCGTGTCTTGCTTCTGCTGCAACATAGACTGTTCATCAAAAACGACATCTCTACTAATCACAACTTTCTTCGCAACTAGATCCCAGAACTTGAATCCTTTGACACCTTTCTTGTAACCCAGAAAAATGCACTCCTTCGATTTTGCATCAAGTTTGGATCTCTCATCAGCAGGTACATGCACATAAGCAGGACAACCAAAAATCCGTAAGTTATCAAAACTAACATCATGACCAGTCCATACCTCTTCTGCAACTTTCCCAGCCAGCGATGCCCTTGGCGATCTGTTGATAAGGTAACACGCCATGTTAACAGCCTCAGCCCAGAAGTGTTTGGGAAGCCCCGCATTCAACCGCAAACATCTGGCTCTTTCATTCAACGACCTGTTCATTCGTTCCGCAACACCATTCTGTTGTGGTGTCTTGCGCACTGTAAAATGCCTCTGAATTCCATGCTCCTTACAGAATTGTAGGAACCGTGAATCTGTGTACTCCGTACCATTATCAGACCGCAAACACTTGATTTTTCGTCCTGTTTGGTTTTCTACCTCAGCTTTCCACAGCTTGAACTTCTCAAAAACTTCAGATTTCTGTTTCAAAAAATACACCCAAACTTTCCGTGAAAAATCATCAATAAAAGTAACATAGTACCTAGATCCACCCAAAGACGATGTCGTGGAAGGCCCCATACATCAGAATGCACATAATCAAGAATCCCTTGAGTTGTGTGCTTCGCAGTCTTGAAACGGACTTTAGTCTGTTTACCAAGAACACAATACTTGCAAAAATCGAGCTTACAGCTTTTGACACCATGCAACAAGTTTCTCTTGTGTAATTCTGCCATACCACGTTCACTAAGATGAGCAAGGCGCATATGCCACAATTTTGTCGTATCATCACAGGACTCAACAGAGTGAACTCCACCTGCAACGGTACTCCCTAACAATCTGTAGATATTCCCTGCAGTCATCTTGCCTTTCATCACAGTCAATGCTCCTTTAACAATCCGAATGGTTTCCCTATCCTCGTCAGCCTTAGGGATAAAACCATTCTTGTGCAAAGTGCCCAAGGAAATCAAATTCTTCTTCAAGTCTGGGATATGTCGAACACCACTCAACGTCCGAACGGAGCCATCGTGCATCTTAATTCTGACATCACCAATACCAACAATATTGCAACATCGATCATCACCCAAATAAACCGAACCAGAATTAACCGGCCTGTATGTCGAAAACCATTCCCTATTTGGCGTGATGTGATAAGAACATCCAGAATCAAGAATCCAAGCATCCGTCAATTGTGTCGTTGAAATAGAAAGCATATCACCCTCACTGCAATCAGAAGTATCATCCTCGACCACGTTCACAGACTTGGATGAGCCATCACGCTTCTCATCGGTCTGCTTTTTCAACTTCGGACAGTCTCGCTTCATATGTCCCGCCTCCTTGCACTTGTAACAGTGAATCGTCTTCTTATCCCTGGATTTGGATCTGGAATTCCGCTTCCCGGACCCTGCCTTCTCTGGCTTCCGTCCACGATCTCGATTACCCTTGACATATAAGCTATCGGCTTGAGAGCTTTCCCCTGCATTCTGTTTCCGCTGGTTGTGAGCCAACAAGGCTGCAGTAATCTCCTCAACGTTGATAGTCTCTTTCCCATATGTAAGAGTAGTCACCATGTGTTCGTAAGAGGAAGGCAACGAACACAACAGAATCATCGCTCTGTCTTCATCCTCAATTTTCACATCAAGCCGAGCCAGATCAGAAACGATTTGATTGAAGACATTCACGTGTTGCGCCAAATCGTGATCGTCCTGCATCTTCAGCCCATACAGCCGCTGCTTCAGATACAGTTTTGTCGTTAAGGATTTGGACATAAACTGACTTTCCAACTTCCTCCAAATTTCGTCTGGAGACGATAGATGCATGACGTGATACATGACCTCATCCGCCAAGCATAATCGTATGGTTCCTGCCGCTCGCTGCTGCAATTCTTCCCAATCTTCCTCATCCATCGACGCCGGCTTTGTAGGTCGCAAAGCCTTCAAGATCCCTTGCTGCGCCAATAGATCCTTCACCCTCGTTTGCCATAATCCGAAGTTACCCTGACCATCGAATTTCGCGACTTCGAATTTTGCTCCTGACATCTGATACCAATTGTTGACGAAAACGGGTAAAGAAAACGAAAGAACACGAGAATTTTACGAGGTTCGGCAATGTGCTTACGTCCTCGGTGCCTAGGCGGCGCTAGAAGTTTTATTCAATGATATTTTAGGTCTAGGTTACATCTCTATTTATAATAGAAAACCCTGGTACATAATTACAAAATCAACCCTGTACCGTACCGCGGGGGCTGCGCCCCCACACCCCCAACCCACATAATTCGTAACCCCACAACGAGACTTTTTATGAGTCATACATAACAGTAAGGTACCTTCATGATTTTGTTGTTGTTGAAAGTTTGTAGTTCAATATGAATCGAATTTGCTAAAATTTGAAAAATTTGTCTTCGTTACAACAGATAAACAATGAAAATCCATGCAAAAACAGGGTTAAATATAGAGCAAACTTGAGTTTTACAGTGAAGAAAGAAGAGAAAAATGAGTTCTAGCAGAGCGGTTTCGTGTTCGTCCAAGGCGAATTTCCGGTCGCTGTTCAATCACCAACACCGCCACAAGCAGCAACAGCAGGGTGTTAGAAAGCAAAGGAGGTGTTGGTCATCGGAGTTGCATCGCCTGTTTGTCAATGCCTTGCACAAATTAGGAGGCTCTCAAGGTGAGGAAATGAAGAACAAATTTCGATTTTGTTTCCGGATCGTTTGTTGTTCTAGTGATCAAATATAAGAATTTAAGAACTGTGTAGCGAATTTCAGATTGTTTGAACATTTGAGACCATGGATGACATTAGATGCTTATAGGAAACCGGAGATTATGTTGTGTTAATCATTGAATTGCAATGTTCGATTCGTTTATATTCGAGTTCTTAAATCAGAAATATTCGAGCTTTCTTTTGCAGTGGCAACTCCGAAACAGATTAGGGAACTCATGCAAGTAGATGGCTTGACCGATGATGAAGTTAAGAGTCATTTGCAGGCGAGTTCTTAGTTCCTTGTATTAATGGTACTCCAATGCTTCCATTTTTCAATCCATTGATAGATTTTCCTGGCTTTCCAGAAATTCCGACTCCATACGAGACGGCTTCCGCCTTCCACACCCGCAAATCGATCAGTCATCGTTGTGCGGAGTGGTCCGTGGATGTCACAAGATCAACACGGAGGTTCTTCAAAAGTAAGCAGTTCGCAGTCTGCTTCTCCTCAAGGCCCTCTCCAGTTAGCCACGAACACCGGAGGGACCTCCACAACGGGAGGCGATAGCATGGAAGACGATGAAGACGCAAAGTCCGAAGCCTATAGCTGGAAAAGGCGTATTCACAAACCCGGAAAAGATGATGTATAGAATTTCCTCTTGATAATATACTATTGCTATGTCAGTATCATCATACATAAATGAAAGGAGAAGCTGTGAAAATTGTTGCAGAATTCGATCCATTTTCGAATCGAGTTTTCGTGTTTTCATAGAAGCATGGAGCTCTAGAACTATATAGCTTCTCCATTACTTGCTTATGTTACATTGAATCTCTGGTTGCTAGTTTTTGCTTCCTACTTTCTTGAGGATAATGATAAAGTACATGTTCCGTATTGTATTGTTCATTCGTGTCGTGTTTTAATTTTTTTTTGTTATATTCATATCAACTTTCAAATTTAAATGTCTTTTTTTACAAGAAAATCAACTTTCAAAATTATTTTAAAAAAATGAATATATATATATATATATATATATATGGAAAGTATGAGTCTTTGGCGGGGAAGACCAACCAACAACATTAATTTCGTTTGATAAATAAAATATTATTTTGTATATGACATACATGTCATGTAATAAAATATAAATTATTAAATATATTTTAAAAAATTTAAATAATTTTAGATGATTATAAAATATTATTTGCTTATAATTTTAATTTATGGACAATGTTGACACACACCCTGCAGAAGAAACTATTCGAATCTAAAACTTTTAAAAGAACAACATTTCTTTTTACGATCGAATCAATTTAATAGGTTCATTTTCACATTATTATTAAAATCATTTGATCAATCGTTAATACTCATAATATGTATCAATTCTTAGATATGAGTGCGTTGGCTATAGAGACGATAAAAACCTCAAAATTGATCGAATTTAAATGAAATTCAAATTTTGTTTAAAGTATTTCCCTAAACTATTACTATTGTGTACGAATCAAATAGTCTATGTAGTAAAAGAATTATTATTATTCTTTGAGGATCTAGATTCGAACACTAAAGATTCGATAAAAAAGTATTTTCAATTTACAGATAATATTTATATCCTGATGTTAAAATCATTATTTAAGATAGATATATTGATATTTATCATTTGAATACACACAAATTATGCATATGACATAAAATATTTACATTTAAACCCTCACTTGCAATATATATATATATAAAAGGATTCGAAATTTAGTTATCAAAATTTTAGCAGATTTAAACTTGTATAAATTTATTTTGTCAAAAGGATTGTAGAAATCTAAATAATTTTAAAATTTTAAAAATTTAAATTCGTTTTTTACAAATTTAAGTATTTCCCTAATTGATGGAGGGACAGATTCTTAACGGATTGTTGGGCCGATGCGTATAGATATTGCTGGAGCTGGAGATGAAGTTGCGGAGTGGATTGAAGAGTGTAAATCAAAAGCTGTTCTTTTCAAGCATAAGAAAACTGGCGCGGAGGTTATGTCCGTTTCAAACAGTGATGAGAACAAGGTTTTCGGTATTGGTTTTTGTTAAAATAAATGTAATTACAGAAAACGTGCTCCATCTCTTTCATTATTTACAAAAAAAGTTTACAAGACCAAATCCTTTATATACAGCCCACCAACCGTTACAAGCCTAACTAACAATCTAACTAATTAATAACTGCAATCTAACTAATTAACAACAGCCTAACTAATCAAATAATAGAAAACTAACACCCCCTCAAGTTGGTGATTAAAGATGTTGATTAACCCCAACTTGGAACTCAAATATTCATGCTGTTGAACTCCCAAAGCTTTTGTTAGAATGTCTGATTGCTGGTCTGTTGTGTTCACATACTCTGTTTTAATTATTCCTTCTTGAATTTTTTCTCGAACAAAATGACAGTCAATTTCAATATGCTTTGTTCTTTCGTGGAAAACTGGATTTGCTGCTATTTGAAGAGCTGCCTTGTTATCACACATCAACTTTGCTGGTCCTGTGTTGTTAAACCCAAGCTCATTCAGTAAGCCTGTTAACCACACTATTTCTGCAGCAGTCATTGCCATACTACGATACTCTGCCTCTGCAGATGACCTTGCAATTGTGTTTTGTTTCTTGGACTTCCAAGATAGCAAAGAGTCCCCCAGTTTTACACAAAAACCAGTTACTGACCTCTTAGTCATTGGGCAAGTTGCCCAATCTGAATCACAAAAGGCTTGAAGTTGGCATTGACTTTCTGCACTCAGCAACACTCCTTGACCTGGACTGCTTTTGATATACCTGACCACCCTCAAAGCTGCATCCAAGTGTAATTTCCTTGGTTGCTGCATGAATTGACTCAACAATTGTACTGAATAAGCAATATCAGGCCTTGTGTTGGTGAGATAAATCAATTTCCCAATCAATCTTTGATAACTTGTCTTGTCCTTTAACAGCTCGTCTTCAGAAGTCAACCTCTTATTTTGTTCCAAAGGAGTTGCAGCAGGCCTTGCACCCCCCAATCCAGTTTCTTCAATTAACTCCAATGCATACTTCCTTTGACTTATAATTATTCCCTTTGCTGATCTTAACATTTCTAAGCCAAGGAAATACCTTAATTCACCAAGATCTTTCATTTTGAAATTTTTATTCAGAATTCCTTTGAGTTCTTCAATCAATCCATTGTTATTTCCAGTTATCAAAAGATCATCCACATATATAAGCATTATGACTACTTTGCTTCCTTGTGACTTAGTAAACAATGAGTAGTCAAACTTTCTTTGAGAATAACCTGCCAACAGAAGAACCTCTGTGAGTTTCATGTTCCACTGCCTTGAAGCCTGCTTTAATCCATACAAGGATTTTTGCAGTCTGCACACCCTGGTCTCCCCCTGACTGCAAAATCCTTCAGGTAAGGACATGTATACCTCCTCAACTAAATCACCCTGGAGGAAAGAATTGTAGATGTCCATCTGAAAAAGCGGCCATTGATGAATAGAAGCAAGGGCCAAGACTGTTCTAACAGTGACCATTTTTGCCACAGGTGAGAAGGTCTCAACATAAACAACCCCTTCTCTTTGAGTGTATCCTTTAGCAACAAGACGAGCTTTAAACCTCTCCACTTCTCCATTCGATTTATATTTGATGTGATACACCCATTTACTTCCAATGGGAGTCTTATTAGAAGGCAGGGGAACCAATGACCAGGTATTATTAGATTCCAAAGCTAAAAACTCCTCATTCATGGATTTAATCCATTCAGGATTTTGAATGGCTTCAGTATAGGTCTTAGGCTCAACTAAATGAGATATAGAAGAAAGGTAAAGTTGAGTTTTAGTAGGAAGACGAGAATAAGAAAGAAAGTTAGAGATAGGATAAGTACCTGGAAGAGAGGAAGATTGGTAGGACTGCACATAATCATGTAACCAAGAAGGCTGTTTTTTGACCCTAGTAGACTGCCTAGGGGGAATAAGAATGCTACTTGATGAAGAGCCATCAGAAATAATGGGTTGAGGTGAAGGTTGAGGTGAAATGGAATCATCTGTTGAAGCTTGAGGTGATGCAGAATGAGGTGAAGAACCAGAAGGTATAAAAGATTGGGTGTGAGAAGGCATAATCAGAAAATCAGAATCAGAAATGTCTTGAATAGGAAAAAATAGAGAAGAAGAAGAAATGAAAAATTGGAAAGGAAAAATGTCCTCATGGAACTTAACATCTCTATTAACAAAAAAGGTTTTTTTTCAAGATTGAACAGTAAGTAGCCTTTTTTAGTGGCAGAATAACCCATGAAGACAGAAGGTATTGCCTTTGGGGAAAACTTATCTTTGTAATTTGGTTGGGTGGCATAACATAAACAACCAAAAACTCTCATATGAGACAAATTGGGAGGTTTACCATGAAGAAGTTCAAAGGGGCTTTTTCCAGCTAAAGAAGAAGAAGGCAACCTATTAATGATATAACAGGCTGTGGTGACACATTCCCCCCAAAACTTAACAGGAACTTGGGAATGAAACTTGAGGGCTCTAGCTACCTCTAACAAATGCTTGTGTTTTCTTTCAGCAATGCCATTTTGCTAAGGAGTATGAACACATGAACTTTGATGAACAATACCCAATGAAGAAAAAAAGGAAGAACACTCATTAGCAAAAAACTCAGAACCATTGTCACTTCTAATGTACTTGATTGTGACTGAAAAATGATTTTTTACATAGGCAAAGAATTGTTTTAAAGAAATGATTGCATCACTCTTAAGCCTCGACAAAAAAATCCAAGACATTCTTGTGTGATCATCAACAATGGTGAGAAAAGATCTATAACCACTATGAGTGGAAATCCTATAGGGTCCCCATAGATCAATATGTACCAAATCAAAAGGTGCAGAAGCTCTAGAAGTACTGTGTGGAAAAGGTAACCTAGATTGTTTAGCAAGAGGACAAATTGAGCATTTAAGGACATTGTCAGCATGAAATTTATGAGATTGTAAATATGGAATTTTATGTAAACTAGAGAAAGATGAGTGTCCTAAACGAGCATGCCAAAGTTTTGTATTATTGACAGTTGAAAGATTCATACAATTGGAAGAGCCCAAGGCAGGACCACAAGAAAAGGAATTACAGTGATTAACAGAAAAAATACCAGAATCAAAAGTTGAAGAATCAAAAAAGTACAGCCCACGAGACTCCCTACCAATCCCCTTCATCTTTCCAGTAGAGAGATCCTGTAAAATGCAGAAGTCAGGGTAAAATGAAACAGTACAATTAAGCTCTTTGGTCAACTTAGAAACATACAAAAGGTTGTGTGCAAAATCTGGAATAATCAGGACATGTTTAAGGGAATTGTTATGGTCAAGAGGAAAAGAACCTGTATATGTTATGGGGGCTGTTTGACCATTAGGTAAGTATACAAATCTAGAGGCTGATGTGCAAGGAACTGGAGAGACTAGTTTTTGAAAATCTGATAACATATGGTCAGTGGCCCCTGAGTCTAATATCCAATTGAAAGAAAGACTAGTGGTAGCAGAGGTAATACCTGCAGTATTTGCTGCTGCAGCTGGCATTGTATCCACAGAAGGAGCCATGTTCAAGAGATGAAGTATTTGATCATATTGAGCCTTTGTAAACATAGGAACACTGGAGACAGTATCTGGCTGTGACTCAGAACTTGTCTGATTGTGAGAACCAAGAGGAGACCGAGTAGAGGCCAAAGCAACCTGGCCAGCTTTCTTCTTTGAGAACTTAAAATCAGCAGGAAATCCAATCAACCGGTAGCAATTCTCACGTTTATGCCCACGAACCTTGCAATAGTCACACACACCAGAAAATCTTTTTTTATCAGCATTCCCAACAGAGGTGGAGTACAAAGCCGAGACCTCGGAAATTAGAGAAAGGGAAGAAGAGTGAATCCTCTGTGATTCCTCTTGAACCAGCATCGAATACGCCATGTTCACAGTCGGCAATGGCTGCATGAGTAGAATTTGGCTTCGCACAGCAGTGTATGTCTCATTTAGGCCCATGAGAAATTGAAATAATTTCTGCTGTGCATAGTGAGCAATCGTGCGTTGTGAAAGAGCACAATCACAAGGGGAAATGGGAGCCAAGGCTTCATACTCATCCCAAAGTGATTTCAATCGAGTGAAATAGGTTGAGATGGAGGAATCACCTTGATTCAGGAGCGCGATTTCTCGGTGAAGAAAGAAGGATCTGGAACCATCAACTTTGGCAAACCTCTCCCTCAAATCCTGCCAAACCGAGGCAGCACTCGATGCGAAAACAATCCCAGCAGAGAGCTCTTTGCTGACTGTATTAAGAATCCAAGGCAGGACGAGAGCGTTACACCTCTCCCATTGAGGATGTAAAGACTCATCGAAATCTTCTCGTCGGCAATCACCGGGGACAAAGCCCAATTTATTCTTCTCAAGTAGGGCAATCTTCATCGACTGGCTCCACACACCATAGTTCTCGATGCCGAGAAGCTGATGCGAAACAAGTAGGAATCCCGGTGCATCGGAGGCATGCAGGAACAGCGGGTGGTTGAAATCAAATGCTGAATTTTCCATGGCTGTTGCGGAGAAGAGAAAAGGAGAAGAGAAATCCCTAAAATGATTTTGACCAAACAAAGCAGAGTCAAGGAAAAAAAATCAGCTGACTCGTGATACCATGTTAAAAGAAGTGTAATTACAGAAAACGTGCTCCATCTCTTTCATTATCTACAAAAAAAGTTTACAAGACCAAATCCTTTATATACAGCCCACCAACCGTTACAAGCCTAACTAACAATCTAACTAATTAATAATTGCAATCTAACTAATTAACAACAGCCTAACTAATCAAATAACAGAAAACTAACAGTTTTCGAACTCCACCGTAAGTTCTTCATTATTTCACTTAAAAAAATTATGAACTGAGAATTTAGTAAAGCTTGAGCTTACTACTACCGTTGGCTAAATTAATTGGTGTGTATGATGTTTTTGAGAAAAATGCTTTATGCATTTTAATTCAGAATGGTGGAGTGCTTTGATTTGGTAGTCTGAATAAGTATGATGCTTAGAGAACTATTATGTGGTGATTTGAACCAATAAGTTGCACAAGTTCTTATGATCTGTGCTATGTGGTTGATGCAGAAAGGATTCCACCGGAATTCCTCACATCTTGGAACACAGTGTATTATGTGGTACAAGGAAGTATCCGCTGAAGGAACCATTTGTTGAATTGTTAAAGGGGAGCTTGAACACTTTTCTGAATGCATTGCATTCACCTATCCTGATAGACTTATCCTGTTGCTTCCGCCAATGCAAAGGTAAAAAGCCTTTGCTTTCAATGACATTGAGAAATGGCAGAATGGGGGCAGTGTAGTTAATACACAGTAGACTGCAAGATAGCACAAATTATGAATTTCAGTGGGGTTGGAGGTGGTGCAAATTATAACTGAAGGCCCAGTGCAATTTCCTTCCCTGCAGCCATAAGAAAACTGCAGAGTCAAATACGAAAAAAGCAAAAAAAAGTTTCGAGAATGAAACTGTGATGTTACAATTCAATTTTGATGTGGTTTGTATTTTCTAAACAGGATTTCTATAATCTTGTTGATGTATACCTGGATGCTGTCTTCTTCCCCATGTGCATTTGATATTGTTTTAAATCTTATTTCGTCGAATTCGACTTTCTCGTTTGCAGAATAAAGTAAAAGGAACCGATTTATATTGTCATTCATCTAAATATTTTGCTTGCAAAGGTTAATTATGCTTCTGTTGCATCTTTCCTTGCACCGCAGTTTAAAGGATTTCAAGGAATTTGCGGATGCCATCGATGCCGTTAAAGACAACGGAGTTGCTGTTGTTGTGGCATCACCGGACGATGTCGAAACCGCCAACAAGGAGTGGTCGAGCTTTTTTGAAGTGAAGAGAGCCCATAAGAATTGCTTGGATCCCAAGTCAATCCGAACACCATTTCCCAAATAGAGTGAGAAAGGAAGTCCTTGCGGCATGAACTATATGCAATATCCGTAGTACGACATTTCCAAATCGTAAAATAGATGCATTATCTTAGACATTTAAATATTTTCATTGAATTAATAATTAAAATCAATTGAAAAAAGAAAATTTGAATTTTATAATTTTTTTATTTATGGTTTGAATTTGTTTAGTTATATGATATTTTTGACTGATAAGGAGGCCAGAGGCCAAAACAAAGAGTTGTTTCCTTAAATAAGGGGGACCATGACGGTCCCTATGGAGACAATCAACTAAGTGCGACGGATGGCTTGGAAGAATATGCAAGCATCATTGTTGCGGATGATATTTTAATTATCAAAATAATTTATATTTTTTTATTTAACAATTTGTGTAATATTATTTATGTGCAATTGGGGTGGGTATGGATCGAAACTGAGTTGAGGGAATTTTATTTTTATTTTTGAATTTGTTGAGTTTACAAGTATTGTTTATCATCCGAATTTTGTTTATTTTTTTAGTCCTTTTAGATTTATAAAATTTGAATAGAATTGAATATTTTTATTTAAGTTTTGCAAATTTAAGTTTAATTATTTATATTTTTATGATATTAATTAATTTTAATTTATCTCTAGTCATATACTATTCATTTAGAGAAAATCGTTAAATGGGATCAATATGCATCATAACATTATAATATATATAATTAAATTTAAAAATTCATCTTGATTCAATTCGAATTGAATTTTATAAACAGACTCAATTTGAATTAATTTTTATAAATTTGATTTAATTTTGAATTCTAAAATAATACTTAGATGCCCTCATATTAAAACTACATAAAGGTCTTGGTCAGCTTTGTATATTGCCCCATCTTGTTTCTTCCTAGTAACTTCCATCCGATGCAGACACAACGTACATGCTCAAGTCGTTTTAGAAAATTGAATCTGGATTGAGACACTAACCAACAGCTTAACCCATATACTTGAATGATAGTTACTATTCGATTCAGTCAAGTTAAATAAGAACTCATTAAGTGACCTTAGTGATTAAAGAGAATGTTTTTATCATATTTTGGATTTAAACAGTAACGTTTATGGCATGTGTGTATGTACAATGTCAATGACTAAGAAAAATTATGAACAAATGTTATTTTATAATCACTCTATGTTATTAAGAAAAATCAAATTAAATAAAAAGTCGAATATATTTAAGATTACGATGAGTCAATATATATATATTATTTAAACAAATATTTAACTATGACAAGTTGGTAGCATCATCTCAGCAGTTTAATTAAACCATTGACCATATAGAAGACTCTACCCTAGTTCCAAATATTATATACGCTACTATACATCCTCGTATAGGAAGTTACATCTTACACGAAGGGGGCGCTAACTATCCCACCAAAACATGTATCCTCCGGTTGAAAACATGCAGGAAAATCCCCCGACTCCGAGCGGACATCCCGGTGGGATCCCGGCCACATCCCATTCATCTCTACCATCATCATGCATACATCTCCAGAGTTCCCTCCGCTCCTATACAAGGACAATGGACTTCCGGTCTTTGCCATTGTTTCAACGACCCCGTAAACTGTAAGTCTATAGTCTCAAATTTTCCTTCGATTTCATTTGAAGTATTCACATCAGACACCATTTTCTCATCATTTTTTCTCCCATTTTTAGGTGTGATTACTTGTGTGTGTCCTTGTATCACTTTCGGACAGATAACGGAGATCATCAACCGCGGATCTAAAAGTAAATTTTCTGTTTCAAACATATATATATATATGTTAGAGTATCGTTTTTATTTATATTTTTTTGGGGTTGCAGCTTGCGTTTCGAGGGGAGTTTTGTTTGGGATGTTGGCTATGGTGGGATGTGCATGCTTCTATTCATGCTTCTACCGCTCAAAGCTAAGGGGACAATACGATTTACAAGAGGAGCCTTGTACGGATTGCTTGGTTCACTTCTGCTGTGCCTCTTGTGCCCTCTGCCAAGAGTATCGAGAGCTCAAGAACCGCGGATTTGATATGGGAATCGGTAATCATATTTTCAACTCTTCCTCTTCATTTTATATGATTGAAAATCTTAAGTTAATTTACGATCAACGTTTTGAAATAAACAAATTTTAATTTTATTAGGTAAAATATAGATATAATTGATATGATCAATTCAAACTATTTTTATAAAAAAAATTGATCTTGAAGAATCAAATCAATTTAAAATCAGTCGGATCCAAATCTCATTTCCATCCCTAGTCGAACGCTTATGCTCGTAACATACTAATGAGAAAGTTATGAAGAAGAAAAAAACAAAAAAGTATATAAGAAAAAAAATCAAATGATTTAAGATAGAAAACCAACTAATTAAGTAAAAAAAGTAGGATAAGTTACGAGTTTAGTACTTAGATTATCAATTTTGATCCGTTTTAATATTCAAACTTTTAATTTTTTTTTCAAAATTATACCTAAAGTTTAATTTTTGTTTCATTTTAGTACCATCGTTCAAAATATAACGTTAAATTTTAAAAAAAAGTGAAAGCTTAGGTACTAAAACGGACCAAAATTGATAGTTTAGGAACTAAACACATTAAGTTTTTAACGACGGGGCATTAAAATAAAACAAAAATTAAACGTTAGGTATGATTTGAAAAAATTGAAAGTTTAGGTAGTAAAACAGACCATAACTGATAATTTAAGTACTAAATACATAATTTATCCTGAAAAAATACATAATTGGACTAATTTTTCACTTAAACATAAAAGTAATAAACTTTTCCACAATTAATTGTTTTTAAAATAATTAAAAAAAAATACAACATGCATATTCAAGCAAACCCTATGAACACAATGACTAGGTCAACATATATAACCATAACTTAATATAAAAATATATTTCAAGGATAACGATATGTTTTCTAATAATAATAAAATATTTACTAAATTGATAAGAAGAAAACAAAAGATCAGCCAGTGGCATTGACTTGAGACTTGGTACTTAATACGTACATATATGTGGTTTAATTAATCAAGTATGGTTGTTGATAATTAATGAAGGCTGGGAAGCCAACATGGACAGACAGAAGCGAGGAGTTACAATGGCTCCCATCGTGGTTCCCGGGATGGCAAGATGACCCCTCATCGTGCTTCTCTCGTGTCTCCGTGATTATCACCGTCGGTTATATCGTATTCTTACAGTGGCTCCGACCTTTCGTTTATGTTACTGACACGGTAACGATGATGTTTTCTTTCTCGTCTTGCAGCCTACTACCCTACCTCCCCCTTACCTCATTGTATATGTGAATAGGGTGTTGTTGTTGTTGTGTATGCTTAAATATATTCTCCACATGATAGTTCTTGTGTAACACTTTGATTTTCCGACAAGGATTAAATTCTAAAATTATGAAATTATTGAGGCCAAAGTATAAATGCATAAAAATTGTGTCTAATGTGTGAATATTAAGAAGCCGGGGTTTAAAATGTAATTTTATGAAAGTTAAATCCTTATAATACAATTTACTCAGGTTTTTATAATTTTAAAAGATAAAAAAAGAGAGTCATTCGAAAGAATGTAGCATCTTCAACTCATGATAACCCAAAAGGTGTTATAGTTAAGTGATAACCCAAAAAAATTTATAGATTGAGTCAATATAAATATAATAAAACTTTCATCTAAAATAATTTATAGATTATTATTTTTAAAATTTTAAAATATAATAACAATTATATATATGGATTAAATCTAGAAAAAATATTAAATGGATCAATATAGTTTTTTTTAACATAATTCATACATGTTTTTATTTAGGGTAAACTAACTATTTGGTCACCCGTCTGTTACTTAATTTATGTTTTGGTCACTCAACTATTATTTTTTCAAAATCATAGCTAACCTTACATTTTGGTTCTATTTTGATCACTCACCATTAAAAAATTTAACGATGTTAACATGACATATTTTTAATTATTTTTAAATCATGATATAACATTATCTTATGATGACACATCAACCTCACAGCTTTAAAGATGAGTAACCAAAACATAAATTAAGTGTGATTTAAAATAGATAATAGTTATATGAATAAAACAGAAAGTAAATAATTTATGAATGACTCAATAAGTAATTTACCTTTTTTGGGCACAAGGGGCCATGACCTAGGTAGGCCTGGGCTCGGATCCGCCCCTGTTATAGTCTACAAATATTAATCCTTTTTATGAAAACACTTCAGACTAGCCAAATACAATCGCAATTAGTATCCTATTGGTATTAGACTTTTTTTTTTCAATATTAAAATAGTTTAATGTTTATCAAAATGATCATTTCGGCTCATATTCTTTTCTAAGAACATTTTGACCCTTAATATTTTATTTTGAGATAAAATAAATTCATCTATATGAAACGGAAAATATGAAAGCTTGTTAACTATCGTCTAATCTTTAATCATTAACTGTGACCTTTCATCTAAATCAAAACAAGTGAATTGTTTAACATCGTACAACTTAATCATATTTCTTTTTAAAGAATTTGAAAGGGTTGTAAAATAATATTTATTTATAATTTTTAATCGTCGATAACATATAAATATTTTATTAGGATTAATATTTGAATATAAAATATTTAAAAATCAAAAAAAAAATTACCACTTGTTTCAATAAAAATTATATATTATTGTCTACTTAAGTACTAAATTAGAAGACCGTAATAATTTAGATTGACCCACTTAATAATACGACTAGTGCAAGTAGGCTCTTATGACATATGAAAAGTATCCCATTTATTTATAACACGTTCTTTTACAAAACTAAAGGGGTTGTTGGCACAAAAGCTTTGACTCGAAGCAAATGGACTCTGTGAGTCGGTCCCATACCAAACGCGCTATTCAATTATATTCGCCCATCAACGACTTCATCGGTAGGTATTTGGTTAGGGACTAATCTATCAACAAAGGATAATTTTTTTTACTAAATATGTGAACATAAATGATTGATTTATGTTAATTTTGGTGTCAAATGATTTAACGAGAAAATTCAACGATTTCATTTTATCGAATTAATATTTTTTCCTCACAAATTACGATAACTAAATTTTAACAAATTAAAGCAAGAGGGACTAATCTATCAACTTTCATAAAGTTGCGAGATGAAATTCAAATCTTACATTTCTTATATGATTTCACACTGCACCAAACTCTCACCAGCTCCCCATTTGCCCTACTTAGACAATGATAGGATACGTGGGTCCCACCACTAATCATTTTATTACTTAAAAATATTTTTCTTATGGATTTTTTCAATATCTTAATCTATGAATTTTTTTTTGAAATACATTCGATAAATATAAAACTTGATTTTTTTCATTTGAGATTTATTTTCATAAAATATTACAATTATAATTCATTTAATTTAATAATTATAACTAAAATTATGCATTAAAATATTATTTAAGTAATCAATAACAAATTAATTTAATAGAATGAAACATTATTTTCTAAAAAATAATATCACTAAATTTAAATCTTAATATTCTAAATGAAAAATAAATAAATTGAGAGGATCACTCCTTAGTAAACATTTTACAATTCCCAAATTGTATTAGTTGAATATATCAACTATATTAGTTTAAGATAAACTACGCCAATGATCATTAATGTTTGAGTAACTGTTTGTTTTCATTATTGATATTTGAAAAGTCATAAATCAGTCATTAACGTTATCGTTTGTTGCAAAATAGTCGCCCAATGTTATCAGTCGTTAATGTGGGTGACGAAAAACTAATGTGGCACGTTAATCTGATTTTATATAAAAATATAAACAAAATGTAAGGATGATTTTATAAAATAGTCATTTTTGGCATCCTTTGACATTCAACCCAACCCCTCCTTCAACCTTACCCCTTCTTCTTCTCGTCTGGGTTCAAGCTGAGAATAGTGGCTAGAACCTGATCCTGATGATGAGAATGAAACAAAATGGGCCAGTGAAGGTTTACCTGCTTCTTGTGGTAACTTCAAATATGGAGGGTCCAAAAACGTTGAAGATCGTCTTATGTTTTCCCACTTGATATATTGGGAAAAAGGAACATCTAGTGAAAGAAAAACGAAGAGTCCTCCTTGATTTCACTTCCTATTTTGATTCAAACGTAAGGCCTTGTGGGTGATGCAACCACCATCAACACCCTGAAACTTGAGGCTGGTCGAAGTGTTCTGTGGAGCCGCGAAATCAGCTCGTGGGGTGGAAATCTTAAAAGCTCTAATGGCATCTGCAATGTTAATACCTCTCGATTGTTCGAATTTGACCTTTTCTTCACTGGACCCGACATCCAAATTGCCATCCTCTGATTGGTTTCTTCACTGGACCAGTTCCATAATCTAAGTAGGCCAAGAGCTACAGTTGTTTCAGCTAAGCCATTGATTCTCACTATATATACCTGCAAATTTGACACAACAATTGTTTCTCCATGCACTTTTATCAGTATACACCAAATGTCAACAGGCTTGAATTCATTTCATCCATTAATTGTCATAAGCAAATAATGGGGTAAAAAGTATAAGACTATACCTTGAACTTGAAAGGCTTGATCAACTGGAAAACTACAACATCTCCGACGAGTAAACCGTATTTCTTCCACCCGCCTACTGAACGATGTCCTTCGAACGAGAAAATTGATCCGATACTCTTTTCCGGTTTCATCAACCAGTATAAATAAGAACAAAGGGCAAAAACCCATAATAGTCATGTTATCTACGTAGTCAAAGGCTTACCCACTTCTTGTGGTAACATTTAGAAGGGTTGAAGAAGAAGAAGAAGAAGAAGAATAAATGGTTGGGTTGAGGAAGAAAAATGAAAGAAAGAGTCGTTTAAAGACAGAGGAAGAAGAAAAAAAGAAATGAATAACAAAAAAGGAACAATATGTTGAAGAGGTTGAAGAAGAAGCAAAATCAGCCAAAAATATTTAGTTGAAGAAGAAAAAGAGTTGGGTTGAAGAAGAAGGGGAGATCAAAATGGTCAAAGGATGCCAAAAAATTTGTTAACGTAACACATCAGCTTTTCGTCACCCACAATAACAGTGATTAAAGTGGTTATTTTGTACAAACAATAACGTTATTAGTAATTGATTTGTGACTTTTCAAATATTAGTGGTGAAAACGAACACTTACACCAAACATTAGTGACCATTGACATGATTTACGCATTAGTTTGTATATTAGTTGAATAATATATCAAATATTAGTAGTTAAACCAATATATGTATATTTTAATTAAGAAATAAAGTATTTATGAACCGAGTCTAATATGATGAACTCATCACCGGGTCATCATTAGTCATGCAATTTGGGGGCTTCACCAACCTCCGACCGGGTGATGGCGGACGGTTCACCAACCGGCATTTTCAGCATCCTTATAACCCCTTGGCATTCATCATCTTTCAACTCAGATTTTCAAACCCAAATTGGATCTCTTGATTTCCACAAAAAAAACAGGCGAATCAAAGAAAGAATTCTTATTGCAAAAAAAATCATCAGAGCAATGGCAGCCAACAACCAAGATCAACAATCTCAAGCTGGTAGGCACCAGGAAGTTGGCCACAAGAGTCTTCTGCAAAGCGATGCTCTTTACCAGGTATAAGCACATCACGTGGCTTTGATCCTTCTTCTGAAAAATCATTGTCCGAATCTTGTATTGTTTTTTTAATCGATGTTTTGATTTGGGTTTTTGGTTTTGAAAATTGGGTTTCTATTTTTGTAGTATATACTGGAGACTAGTGTGTATCCGAGGGAGCCTGAAGCCATGAAAGAGCTCAGAGAGTTGACAGCCAAGCATCCATGGTTGGTTTCTTAATGAAACCCAGATTTTTCTTTCTTTGTTGATTTGATTTGAATTGGTTTTGAAAATGAAAACAGGAACCTTATGACCACATCAGCTGATGAAGGCCAATTCCTGAACATGCTTCTTAAGTTGATCAATGCAAAGAACACCATGGAGATCGGTGTTTACACCGGCTATTCTCTTCTAGCCACCGCCCTTGCTCTCCCTGATGACGGCAAGGTAAGTTGATCAATGCTTACATATGCATGTATCTGTTATAGATGGCAATTTTACCTGAAATTAACGGACTCGAACTTCTTAACCGTTTTTTTTTATTATTATAAGAAAATTTTGAGTTTGTATCAAATTTAAAGAGCCATGTCAGGTTTTAGTCGGTCGGATTGTATAACGGGTTGGGTCGGATCACAATGGAATTTATGATAAAAATCTCCAACCTGATATAAGGTAATAGTTTTTTATTTATTTATAAATTTAGGGATAATTACTATAAGATCTCTTTATGTATTTTTTCCATTTAGATCCTTATATTAATAAAAATTTAAATTTGGGTCAAATCAAGTTTGATTATAGAGAATATGCTCATTGGGTCAGGTCAACATGTATAGTTCTTAAGTCGAGTTCGATTGTATACTTCTCAAGTTGGATCGAGTCGGATCATAGTGTATACTTATCATGTCGGGTCGGATCATAGTGTATACTTATCATGTCGGGTCAGATCAAAGTGTTTGCTCATAAGGTCGAATCAGGTTCATCCAAAGGGAATATGCTTTTTAGGTTGGATTTGCTAAAAACCCGACCCGCTGCATCTGTATGTATTCATTAGATGACATTGGAAATTGAATTGCAGATCTTGGCCATGGATATCAACAGAGAAAACTACGAGCTGGGTTTGCCTGTGATCCAGAAAGCTGGTGTTTCACACAAGATTGAGTTCAAAGAAGGCCCTGCTATGCCGGTTCTTGACCAATTAGTCGAAGATGTAAAATTCCCCCCCCCCCGGGTTTGTTTTTATTCCTCAATCAGAACTTCGGAGTGCTGAAAAGAATCAACTTTTTTTGTGCAGGAAAAGAACCATGGATCGTATGATTTCATCTTCGTCGATGCTGATAAAGACAACTACATTAACTACCACGAGAGGCTGATAAAACTGGTGAAAGTCGGCGGTTTGATCGGTTACGACAACACGCTGTGGAACGGATCGGTGGTCGCACCGCCTGATGCTCCTCTTAGGAAGTACGTTAGGTATTATAGAGAGTTTGTTCTGGAACTCAACAAGGCTCTTGCTGTTGATCCCAGGATTGAGATCTGCATGCTCCCTGTTGGTGATGGAATCACCCTTTGCCGCCGCATCAAATGAGCCACCACCGATGCTGCCGCGACCCAAGGTTGACAAGCTGATATAACTTCCAAACTTCATTTTTCAAAAATATGGTGTAAATTTAATTTGGCATTCATGAAAGAAATGCCTATCTACAATTATCAAACCGCGATTAATTTCTCAAAATGTGAGTGATTGGATTAACCAATGAGTCTAATAATAAAAACACCTGAGATTCTGAAACAAAAGTATAACACTTAAATCTAAAATGAAAACATATCAATAACATCCTTTGGGGGAAAAGGGAAAGAAACGAACCATGAAAATTTTCACTGGTTTCTCTTTCGGGACCTTACCCTGGGATGGTGGCACCTCCCACCTCGGATCAGCCACCAGCATTGCTTTGACAGATAGCGTAGACCCGAGAAGTGTGGCCTCCGCCTTTGACTTAAATTCTCATGTCGACGCAGGCAAAACAGTGGTGGTATAGGAGGATTGGATCAACGACCTTGAAACAATCTCCTACTGTGAATTTCAACATCTGAAACTTCTATTCCCGAACCGAGACAATCCTTTACACCAAAGAGGAACTGAAAACTGGATAATGTCCCAAAGTTAGCTTAAAAAAGCTGCTCTCTGCTCAAATTGTCCAATAGGAATAACTCAATTACCAAAGGCATAGATCGATTAAAAGTGTAGGTGCTACATTGTCCTGGAATTCAAAGGGTTGTGCATTCCAGGACAACGATCTATGATTATCAGAGTCAGATAAAGAAGATGACAAAGGCATAGATCGATTAAAAACTAGCTTCAAATACAAGCATCTATATAATGTGATTAGAAACAAATATGAGCAAGTTTGGAGAACCTTGATGTTGGGGTTTTAGAATATCAAAAGCTCTGTTTTGAAAATCGGACCGGACCGGCCGGTTCAACCGGGAACCGTTGTTTAGTCCGGTTCAATATAAATCGGTTGAACCGCTATTAGTGAACCGGCTAAAACCGTTGAACCGTTCGAACTGGACCGGCTGAAAACTGGAAAAAACCGGGAAAAACCAGGATTTTTTTTTTTAAATTAAACCAAACAACGTCGTTTGTTAAACGAGCCAAGTCGAACTCGAGTATTGCTGAGCTCGACTCGAACTTGAAAACTTTAAAAGTAAGCTCAACTCAACTCAAACTCACAAGCTAAAAATTATTAAGTTCAACTCAAACTCGAAATATAATATTGAAACTTGAACTCAAAAAGGCTTGAACTCAAAAAAAATTAGAAGCTCGATTGAAGCCTAAAATTCGAGCTTGATTGAAGTGAAAGAATAGTTCACTCAATGCTCACCAAAAGGCTCCATGATTTTGAATGTCAAATTACCTCTATTATTTATAGAAGTTAGTTGTGATGCGCTTCTATGTTTCTTAGCAATGTGTGATTGTTTTGTTCTCATATTTTCTCTTTAGACTTTTGGGATGCTCTTTTATGTTTCTTAGCCATGTGAGATTGTTTTAAAAAAATTAAACCAAACAATATCATTTTGTTATGATTTTTTAACCCTAAATTTATTTTTTAATTATAGTTATATAATTATATTTATTATTTAATATGTTTTACTTTAAATATTATGTTGTAGTTAATTTGAATAATTTTGTTTCACTTGATTTTATGGTTTTTAACTTATATATGTTATGACTTGCTTTGAATATGACTTGTGATATAAATTTTTTTTATTAAATATTTTTGGTATTTTTATTTAATTTTTTAAATAATTATGACATCGTCCAGTTCTTCCGACCGGTCGGACCGGTTTAATCGGTTGAACCAATAAACCGATAGCATAACCGATTCGCTAACCGATCCGATTATGAAAACCATTATCAAAAGCTCATATTTGTTAGTAAACCATACAATGCTACTATTACTGATGGAAAAATTGTGGTGATAACGACTATTAACGTTTCACTTCTGGTTTGATCAAAGAGTGTCGACTAGTGATTCTAATTTAAATGATTTTTTATATAATTATATATAATACATATATATTTTTTCATTTTTTTTCAAGTTGTAGTTTATAACTTTATTTAAACTCGAAATTTTTTCGATTTGAGTCGAGTTTATGAAATTACAACTCGAAATCAATTCAAGTTGAGTTTTCTAGAGTCGAGTTGAGTAAAAAAATTGATTTTTCGAGTCGAATCAAGTTTTGCTCACCCCTAAAAATAAGTACTCAAATTATGTATCTTTTTGTTTTAAGTACCTAAATTATTTTTTGTCAAACTAAGCCCTTAAACTATTACATTTAATCATTTTAAATCTTGTTAAAATTTTCAATTTAAAAATATATTTTTCGACCAATAGGATGTTGACACGATAAAATTATGTATTTGTTTTGATAAAAAATAGTTTAGGAGCTTAAAGCAAAAAAAAAAAGGTCATAGAGCAGGAGTTATTTTTGACCAAAAATAGTTTAAGTACTTAAAGTGGTTACGTATAATAATTTAAGGATTTAATTTGACTAAAATATAGTTTAGGTGCTTAAAGCAAAAAAATGACATAATTTGAGTACCTCTTTTTAGTTTAATTATTAATCTAAGATGTTTACAAGTGATAATATATATTCTGTCGACTTTCACTATTCCTATAGCATAAGACTTCTAAGAACAATGGATATTTCCTCTTAACCAATTGAAATATCTGGTTTAAGCCTAAATTTATCTATATTAATGTTGGAATAAATAATTACAAACCTTGAACATAAATGATGAAAATAATATAAATTATAGTAAAAATATAACTTAATTAAAGCAGACATTGTATTATTGACAATGACGTTGAACCAGTTATGTACCATAGTGGGTCCACTCTCCAGCTCATAACTTTCGTGTCATTCATTATCTTAAGGTAATCTATTCAGATTTCATAATTCTAACACAAGCCGTCTGATTTGCATTAATACATGGACTTGATTTTGTACCTGCTATCACTTTTCTAAACAAAGAAAATTAAGAATTATATGATTATTAGGGTCTAATTATTAAACTATTAGTTTAATAATTAGAAACGAAGGGTTATGATATAATTTACTTAAATTAAAAGGGATCTCAAAAGTATTTGAACCGAAAATTGATGGGTTAATGCTTAATTTGCAAAGTTTCAAAATTAAGATGGACCTAGAAAAGGAATCTTACCCAAAGAAATGAGAGGTTATGATCTAATTACAAGCAATTGAATCTAAAAGATTAAGGGGACGGGATTTAATTTGTCTGACTTCAAAATTACAAGGGACCTAACAAAAAAAAACCCCGTAGTTTTTAGGGGCTTTAACTTCTCTTATATTACACAATTTCAGCTCACAGGTAAGCGTAGTGATAAATATAAGATTTGGATCTGACGGGTTTTGATCTTATCTAATTTTGTAGGATTTGTTTTTTTTTTTGAAAATTTAGGCTTGGGTCGGGATAAGATTTAAGATAAAAAATTTCTAACCTAAATCGACTCAACCCAACTTAATGTAATAATATAACTAACCTTATATATTTAGAATAATTACAATAATATATTTCTTTATATTTTTCAATCAAATCTTTATTTTATCTTAAAAGATAATATATGTGTGCTGGGTTAAAAGTGGTCTAAACTAATGCTCATCCCTAAGCAAATGACACAAGTTGTCGAATTTTTTTTATGGTGTACAAAGGATCATCTTATGTTCATAGATAATGGTTTAATAACTTTGAAACTTAAGAAAGCTCCATCTTACCTATAATTAACATTAAACAAAGGGAAAATTAGTTCACTCCGTTTGAGTTATAATTAAAAATATTTAAACTTAATTATAAACTATATGAATATCGACGGAATATTAAAAAAAAGCTACAGATTCGAATGAGTTTGCACATATAATACTCTTCATAAATGAATATAATTAATTAAGAATTTAGCGATTAAAAATATATTAATAAATATACTAAAAATAAGTTTAACGATATTTCGAGCAGTTACGTCTGTAAAGTTAATGTACATAGTAATCACTTCATACTATTCAAAAAATAAGGAAAAGGACTGAAAACAAATTAAAGCAAAATGGAGAACTAATTTCAAAACACTAAAGAGTTAAAGAAGTAAAAGACAATTAGACCAAATAAAATCAAGAACAGAGAAAAAGGAAATTGTTTTATTCATGAAATTCTGAATCAAATTGCATCAAAAACATCCAAATACAGAAGCTTGAAGATGGGCTACATTATCATCTAAAAAAACCAATGAAAAATATATAAATCACAACCGATGATGAGGACTGAGAGTACTATAAGTTCTAGTCGCCGGATCCGCCGCCGCCGCCGACCGATCACCATCACCGGAATTTTCCGAATAATAACTATGTTTTTCACAAGGAACCAAGTGAAACGTCTCCATCCTATTGCAAGCCTTCTTCTTCCACAGAAACGCAGCACACTCGGCCTCCGATCGTTGATTCGGGAGGTCAAAGATACAGTTTTTCTTAACGTCGAGCTTCTTCTTCAACATCAAACGGCGGCAAGCAGGTCCGATGGAAGTGAAATAGTTGTTGGCCAAAGACAAGTTTGCAATCATCGGAAGCTCACAAATAATCTCCGGCACTTCGCCGTAGAATTGGTTGTTCGCCAAGCCGAGAATCTGAATCTTTTTCATGCACCCGAACGAGAGCGGTATCGGCCCGGTGAGTTTGTTCGAGCTAGCGTCGAACACGGTGGCTTGACTCAGGTTTCCGATCTCGTACGGTAAACATCCGGTGAGTTGGTTGTTGAGGAAAAGAACTTCGAGGAGGTTCCGAGCTCTGCCTATGCTTGGTGGGATCGAGCCGGTGAAGTTGTTGTTAGCGAATGTTAGGTAGACCGCCGTCGTGTCGCCGATGTTCGTCGGGAGACTTTGCACGGCGAACCGGTTGTTGTTGATGAAGAACACGTCGAGGTTTAAGTTGAACGCTTGCGGCGGAACGGAGCCGCGGAGGGAGTTGAATCTCAAGTCGAGGAACGTTAAGTTCATCCCGCCGACGGTTTTCATCGGAAAATTTCCGGCAATCTTGTTGTTGCTGAGATCGAGCTCGTATAAATACTTGATCTTCGACGCTCGAAGCGGAACCGTGCCGGTAAAGTTATTCGAGTTAGCATGGAATATGGCTAGATCGTCCAACTCGTCGAGGAACCCATCGAGCGGAAGGCTACCGTCGCAGCCTTCGAATTTAAAACCGTTAAAATCGACGGCCGCGACGGCTTTTTCCTTCACATCTGGACGTATGTCACACCTGTAATGATAAATTAAAAAATATTATTGAACTGAGACACATATATATTAACAATATAAAATAAATAGATACAAATGAAGTATAATAAATATTTAAATAAAGAAAATTTGAATTTTAGAATGGACAAGGTGATTCTACCACTGCGTACCTGAACCCTCTGTACTTGCAAACATCGGTTCCGCACCACGTTTTCAAGTATCGGTTGCTGTTCTTATCAACTTTGATCTTAGTCTTGAACAGTTGGATCACTTCGTATGCTTTCGCTAACCGTGCATTTTCGAAGCACCCGTTCTCATTTTCGAAGTGCTTGCATGGTGGTGGCTCATCATCTGGCGACGGAGCTTCCCCACCGCCGATGATAATGTCTAACGTCTCCCTTTTTATCAATGAATCATCGTTGATGGCTAAACATGAATGAAAAACGATGGCGAAGAACAAAAATATTGAAGTGAAAATTGAAAGGGAACGCATTTGCATTGATCCCTTTGATTTTTCCCTCTCACATAAACCTTTAGAGAATGTATCAAAATTAGCAGCAGATTTATATAGGGAGAAAGAGTAGATGAAAGTCAAACTTCACCAGCACATATACACATAAATAATTCGTTGTAGTTCTTAGTTGTCTTGGGTTAGGGTTTTGTTGCACCGTCATTGTACGAGAAAGACATGTTCTTTTCGACTCGTTATGGTTCGATTGGACGGGAGAAATTAAAGATTGAGATTAACAGTATAAAATAAGAAAATATTTACTCAAAAAATATTTTAAATTTAAAATACTACAAACATATATTAATCTTTTTAGTCGTTTGATTTTTATTTTCAACCATTCTTAAAATTTGATTCTTTCACTTAAGCATTTTTTATAAATGTAAATCCTTGTAGTTAGATAAGATAATTTGACATGAGTCTGGCGAATTCTAACTCGACCAAATTTATAAAGTTAAAAATTTTAGAATTTAAATTCGGGTCGAATAAAGTTTTATGAAGGATGAGATTGTGTCAGTTTGTGAAAGATAAGATCGAATTTAGGTTTAACTTGAAAGATAAATACAAGGGTAAATTACACCAATGATCACTAATGTTTAGGTAAGTGTTAGTTTTCATCACTGATATTTGAAAAGTCACAAATTGTTACTAACATTATCGTTTGTTACAAAATGATCACTAACTTTATCGTTTGTTACAAAATGGTCACTAACGTTATCGTTTGTTACAAAATGGTCACTAACGTTATCGTTTGTTACAAAATGGTCACTAACGTTATCGTTTGTTACAAAATAATCACTAACATTATCGTTTGCTACAAAATGGTAACTCATTGTTAACAACCGTACACGTTAAACTAGTTGACTCTCCTCCTCTTCCTCCTCCATTCCCCTCTCTTCCCGGCTACCCACAACCACCTGAAAGTTGTTTTCATGGCGGTCGAGTTCCCGCCGTCGTCTAACTTCTTCAATGTCCTAACTCTCAAGATAGACCGTTTCTTCATCGATATTCGCTCTCCCTTTCACCTTTTCCTTCTTTCTATTATCCAAAGCCTCCATTATCTTTACAATGTCCTCTTCAATTTCATCTCTTTACAATCCCCTGTTTTCCACTTTCGTATGCAATTTCTTTCTACTCTTGGCTGCCAATTCAACGGTTTTCTCTCTTTTATTCTTCGGGTACCATTTTATTAATGGGTTGGGGTTCTCTTTGTCTCCCAACTGGCTCACCTTCATGTCAGCTGTCGGTGTTGCCGTATATTCAATGATTCTGGCAAATGTGATTGTGATTTGTAACTTGGCTTTGGTTTCTTCTGGAATAGAGAATTCGAGTTGTTGTGAGGGCTTATGGTTATCGTAGTGAAGGTGATTATGGTGGGTTTTTGTTGGCTTTGGAAGGGGTTTTGATTTCTTATTTGTATTCCATTTTTATTGTTCTTGATACTGTGGTGAGTTGCATGTTCTTCGAGAGCTGCAAAACTGGGTGCTTGGTTGATCATCCACAAGGAAGATACTGTTATAAGATTGAGATTTTTGCAGAGAGAGATGGGAAAGCGTTTGTGAAGAAGAAGAAGAGGAGACAGACGGTTGGTCTAAGTATGTTGAATTAACTGGTTTAATATACCACTTCAGTATTTCCTTACTTCAGTAACAATTTGTTAACGGTTGTTAACGACGAGTGATCATTTTGTAACAAACGATAACGTTAGTGATAATTTTGTCACAAATAATAATGTTAGTGACTATTTTGTAACAAATGATAACGTAATGATCGATTTGTGACTTTTCAAACATCAATAATGAAAACGAACAATTACCCAAATATTAGTGAACATTGGTATAGTTTATGAAAAAAAATTAATTTAATAACGTCGTGTTTACGTTGCGTTAATACAGGATTATAATAAAAAAATGTCCGGCCAGTTTGAGTTCACATGCAGAACAAGTCAATACCAGCTCTTATTCCTAATCTTCTTTAATTGTCAGTATTCATTGCAATTTTAATATTTAATTTCCTTATAACTCCTTGAAAGATTATAAAATTATAAATCAATTCAATAATAAAATTACATTTTAATCTTTAAAATTTTTACAATTTCGTATCGATCCATAAAAAAAATGATAACTCCACCCATATAAAATACAAAAGTTAAAAGGGTAAATTATACATTTGGTAACTAAACTTTACTTTCTTTCCTATTTTATACTTTCAATTTTTTCAATCTACTCACTAAACTTTATAGATTGAATTTTTTTGTCACTCCGTCGTTAAATAATTAAATGACGTTAAGACATTACAACTTACATCAAAATGGTGTTGTTTTGAATTCTTGAAAAAAAGAGACTAAAACGACATTGTTTTGATTAAACTACGGCAATGTCATAACGTCATTAATTATTTAACAGTGGAGTGACAAAAAAAAAATTCAATCTATAAAATTGAATGAGTAAATTGAAAAAAAAATAAAAGTACGGTGAGTGAAATAGGATAAAGGGTAAAGTTCAGTTACCAAACATATAGTTTGCCCAACTTAAAAAAATTGATAAAAGACAATGATTAAAACTCCGTGAGACAAAAATAATAGTATATGGATGACAGTCCGTGAGCGTGACAAGTTGTGTGATATATAAACAAAAGAAAATGGCCTATCACCAGCTAATTGGAACAGTATTTAAAAAATATATTTAAATATACAAATGAGAGATTTACAAGTGGAAGTAAAATATTTTTGTATTTTATTATTATTATTAATTGTTATGGGCAATAATAAGTAAAATTGTTATCTGATAGTACATCAAAGCCTAAAATCTTAGGCATATAGTTTGAGAGCTTCTGCATCCAACATTCATCTCTAATTTTTCTCCACAACACAAATCTTTTGAGTTAAACCAAATGAAATTCGAGTTACCAACTCTATCTTTTATGTTTTACGTGATGAGTTAATTGTGAATATTACTTTAAATTAGTCTTCAAAATTTTGAATATTTCAATTTCATCCTTAAACTATATCTTTCATTATAAATTAGTCCTTAAACTTTTGAATATTCCAATTTAATCCCCAGACTCATCCAAATATATAACTAGTTTCAATCATAGTTTCACCTCAATTTTTTTTGAAACATGCAATAATAGAGATTGACCTGGTGTTTTATTAATAGGGGGCGTGATAAGTACATACCAATAATTTGAGATGAAATTGAAGTGTGCAAAAGCTTGGAGACTAATTTAAAATGAGGGTCGTGGTTTGGTGATGAAATTGGAGCGTACAAAAGTTGAAGGTCTAATTTAAAATGAGTCATAATTCAGGGATCAATTTAAAACGAGTCATAATTTGAGGGTGTATAGTGTAATTAGCTCTAATAAAATTATATTTTACATCTCGAAATAATAATCTTATAATTTAATCCCTTTAAAAATGTATTTGGACTTCTCTAGAAAACTAATTTAGCTTTGTGACCATAATTGGGTTATATTCTTTGATTTAATAACAACATAATCACAATCAATAGAAAAATATATACAGAGGGCATGCAATTTAATGGTGAATTTGTTTATTTGAACTTTGATTCTTCGGTTGCTTTGTTAATCTGTTCGTACGATTTCCCCGATTTTGTTTTAATTATAAATCTAATACTTTATTATCATTCTAATTTCAGTTAAAATTCGTTGAGAAAACCAATAATTTGCAAGGAATGATATTATTTTATTTTTAATCTTTATATTAAGTTAATTAAATAATTCTAATTTAAACATAGCAAATAATAGTTAATTAAATAATTCTAATTTAAACATAGCAAAAGAATAGATGCACTTGGATGTATGAGACATTTATATAAATCTATTATAACTAATAAATTCATAATAAAATAAAAATGCCATATGACTAAAATCAAGGACTTTTATGAGTCTGGATTAAAGGATAGGGGTTTATTTAAGAAAAAGAAACTACAATAGCTTATTTAAATAGGCTATTATAGTTTAAGGAGTTTTTTTTTTTTAATAAATAAACCAAAAGGTTACATGTAGAATATTTGTTTGCTAGTTAATAATTTGGCTGAACAAAACATTAATGCCCTAAAACTTGAGTGACTAAATTGAAATATTTTTGGGGTGGTTAAAACATTAACACACTAATTTGTAAATCGAACAAAACATTGACATAAATACAAGCTAAATCATTTGTTCATCCATGCTTCTAAGGCTTTCAAGTTAAGAATTCAATTGGATTTGTACCTAAAGATCCGAAGAGTTTTAAACGAAATGCAGTCGGTAAACATGCACAACACGCCTTCTCCGAAAGCGATCGATTCTATTTTTACAAGCGGATCAACCTCCTCGCATGTGGGCACCTAGTTCACCAAACTGGTCATCGGTTTCCACAGTATCCTCGGACAGGCGAACTGCATCGAGCTTCTGTTTAAGGATGTCTATGGCGTTAAGAACCATCTGAGAAGCTTTGATAGCACCGGTGGATTCGACCGTAAAAATGAAACTGTCTTCTTTGGCATATATCTCCACCAGGCCTGGCTTGCCCATAGCTTCGGCTTTCTTTAGCACCTCATCATCATAGGTATATGCCTCTGGGTCAACCACCACAACCTGTTTTCAACCACGAAAAAAACACCCACAAACACAAAAAATTGAAGTTAGCAGCTGCAGTGAAATCAAATAACCTAGAAAATTTGGCTTGGGATACAGGGACCAAAACGATGTACTCAAAGAACATGAAGCAATCTATATCAAGCAAGCCAGAAAAACCATCTAATCCAACAAACTATTTCCTAAATGCTTCAACACTATAACCGGCTATAGTATGACCGGAGAATTCTAATAAAAACAAGAAAGTGTTGATTTTCAATGCAACCATAGTAGCACAATGGACTCATTTAACCGAACGATACACCCAATAAATCAATATGGTTTGACAGCTCACTTGTTAGCCTCAGAGATACGATCAGGCAACAGGGTGTTAATGGCAGAAACCCCAATCCAAAAATCCAAACTGAAGCTCAACTTCCATCAATATCTTCGTAATCCACTATAAAAACATCGAAAGGACCTTGATGATGTAGAAAACAGTTCTTTTTTCCCGACAATTTCTTCAACAACCTGTAACCTAGTTTGATAATATAATGATGTAGCAAGAGGAGGAGAACCTGTTGGGTATTAGGATCAATGTCAAAGACTCTAGTAGGCCTACTCTCGACAAAGTTTTGCTTCTCCTCAAGCGTCAAGGTATCCATAATATCTTCATTGATATGAATCTCAGGTTCATACATGAAAGTCACAGTTGCAGCAGGTGACCATTTTGCATGATCTTTCCCTATCCCTTTCCTCGCAATTGCCCTTAGCCTTAACTCTTGCCCGCTGTAGACACCCGTTTTTATCCGGGCTCAATTTGAAGCCATTGCAAGTGACCTAGCACTCAACCTGACCCGTCCTGGACAAACCACCAACCCAGCTGATGCTCATGCCCTGCTCCACAGCACCCCACGCCAACACCACACCTCACCCATGCCCTGCTACATTTACTGCAACATGTCAGCTCCCTTAAATCATGGCACCAAACACATCAACAAGAAGCAACATCAAATTTATATTATTTGTAATGGGTATATAAGAAAACCCAACCAAACTATGTAGAGGGGGGGGGGAAACCGATTAAAAAAAAAGCTGTAACAAGAACCTTTTTTTTAGTAATCGAAAGCAGAACAGAAAATAAAAAAAACAGATTGAAATCTTCAAGCAAGCAAAGGTATTCTAGCCCTTTTCTTTACATGCTTGTTTATCTGTTAATTTCATGCAATGTAACCAAATATAGTTTAGATTGTAATTTTGTTCTTTATTTTCATGTATTTATACGTTTAAAAATTAATTAAGATAGATAGAGAGTTAGGTTACCTTGCTTTGGTGTTCGTCGGGAAAATGGTGTCATCGGAGAGAGGGTGGCATAGTTTGTTGGTCGGAGCCACCGCGTAAGGTGTTGGTTCGTTGTTTAGTTCTCGATCGAGGGGGATGGAGTGAGTTGAGATTAGGGGCTGTCTTAGTGGTGTTCCCATACCTTGTAGGTCTCGGTTGAAGTAGAATGGCCACCCATTAGGGTGGCCGAGGTGGCGCGGGTTTTGGGACTTCAAGGTCCTCCACCGTGAGTTGAAGAGAAGCCAAGGAAATGGGTGTTGTGAGAGGAAGAAGATAAGCAGGAAATGTTAAAGTCTCGCACAAATTGAAAATCAGGGGAAAAGGAATTGTTTTTATGTTAATTTTGGTTTAATCACACATAGTGTCACTTATCTTCTTGCCATTCTTTATATTGGTCTATAAAAGTTTTGGTTTATTTATGTTTAAGCCACTTTATTATCTCATTTTTTAGATCAGTCACCAAATTTGTGCAGTTAATCACGCTTAGGCCCCTGTACATTTGAGCGTTTCTATAAACTGGTCATTGATTTGTTTGTGCAAAATTACGTTAAACCCCTAATACATTGTCGTATCTCACATTTTAGTCCCCCGGATTCCTTTGTTCTGTTTATTTCATTTTTGGCACTTTAGTTTTATTATCTTTAATTTGGTCACTCGCTATATATATTATTTACTTGTTTTGATTTGTTTCGACTGTTGTTATTATTTTTATTCTTTATTAGTTTTGCTTATTATTTTCATGTTATGATTTCTTTCACTTTGCCATATTTATGTTTGTATTTGTCTAGTATTATTTGTATGTAAATTACATATTGTATCAAAAATAAATTTATTTACTAAGTACTTTTAATGCTTGTACACACATGTATGTCATCGTTTCTAATCTTAGCCTATTTATTTATTGATTGGTTATTTCAAATTTATTCACTACTTAATTTCACTCGAATATTTTCAAGAACAACGATTTGTAGAATGGGTGTGGAAAGCATCGCTTGGTCGAAGTGATGCAATCCTATACGACGTTCAAACAGAATATGATAAAAAAAGCGCAAATTCTTCCTTTTACGAGCTTATAGAAATTATTTTTATTGTTATTTTTTTTGTTATTTTATTTGATGTTCATATTGTTTAATATTTAAATTTTAATCTTTATTATTATTCTTCATTGAATCTTAATATGAGTGATGTATATTTTGGAAAAATAAAAAATGATGCATTTTATGTCAGTTTTCGATATTATTTTTTTATTTAAAGAGAAAATATTCTTTACAAGTAAGAAATAGACGAGGTAGCTTTCCCGACGGAGGATTGCAAATCTCGGGATTTCTTGTCGAGAAAAGGGTTTTTTTTATTTTAACTAATATTCAATAAATAGATCATAATTTATGTTCATAATTTTTATTGTATTAATGGTTTTTATAATATTAACGATACATGTTTTAGATAAATTAAGCATATTTTATTTTCTACTCATGTCGATATTATTTGGTGGTAATTCAAAGATAGAATATACTTTATAGATGAGAAATAGATGAGATAGCTTTCCCGTTGGAGGATTGCAAATCTTGAGATTTCTTACCAAGTGAAGTATTTCTATTATTTTAACGAATATTCAATAAATAGATCATATTTTTACTTCTGATTCAAACTTTAAGTTCTATCATTTATGACGATATATAAGCGACTAAGTACCAATTTTGGGCGTTGTGGATGTTAATCCTTCCCCACACGTAACCGACTCCCGAATCCACTTAATCGAATCTTTGGTGACGCAGACCAAATTTTGTCTTAAAAAATGATTTTTCTTAAAATTGTTTTAAAAGACGTTTTTAGGTATTCGACCTACCTAACCCAAAGGTCGATGGCGACTCCCTTTTCCATTTTATTTCAATCAATCCAAAATCACCCAATTTTCCAAAATAAAAGTCATAACCGTTATTTTAAAAAATAATATTTAATTGTTTTACCTAAAAAAAATGGTTATGACAGCTTGGCGACTCTGCTGGGGACGGCTAGAGAGTCAGGCTGTCGGTCGCTTATATATGGTCGTTATGGTGGAAATTATAAGTTCGAATCTTTAGTAAAACTATGATCTATGTATTGAATTTTTATTTATTATTTTATCTCTTTATTTTTATATACTAACATTTTAATTGTTTTCATTTTTTTCAGATATTTCTTAGTTCTCGTTGAGTGTTATTTTTTTATTATATTTTTTCCCTGTTTTTGAGTCAAAGGTTTGTTTGTTTCTCCTCACACACATCACTTTCATTGGCATAACATGAGCTCTAGACATGAGCTTCGATCCAAATTAGTTAGGGTGATTGCTTTACTCTCGTAAGAATTTATTCTTCGTATGAGTTATAGCAAATAACCCATGGGATACATACCTTATACCTTCGTAGGAATTTATTCCTCGTATGGGTATAAGGCAGTGAATCCCCTCGAATTGAACTCGTTCCATTTGAAACCTGTAATGGGTGAGGATTGAGGGTTTGGTAGCCCAAGGGGGCACCGACATCAAGGACAATTCGAGTTCCTTTTTCCTGATAAGAGCCGAAACCATGCACATAATGAACCATAGAACGGTCACACTAGGTAGAGTCATGCCGAACCTCTTTCCGTCAATAGGTACCCAAAATAGGCATACACAATGGAGAAACCCTCTAACATTTTATTTATTTATTTATTTATTTTTGGTAGAATTTATGTGCAGTTAGAATTTAATTAAATAAATTTAGGAGGGTAGAGAGCATGTTTGGGTAGGACCCTTTTTGAGGAATATTATTTGGGTAGATAATACATAAATGGAGGAGATTTATTTCCCGTTTTACATATCTTTTTATGCTAAATTTATACAATTATTTTGACTACCTGTTTTGTTTGTTTTGTTATTCATACTGCATAGACATATCATTAGAAAATGCGATTGATCTGTGAGTATCGATAAAGTGGAAAGACTTTCACGATGGAAAGGAGTTTCCTAAACAAAGAGGTGAATCCAGCAGATGTAAGGAATTGGTCCGAAGCCAAGCAGAAAGAGCAGGGAGATAGTCTATCAGGGGATTACGTGTCAGATCTGTCTGATTATACACCAGCTTCTTTAAAACAGAATGAGCTTCAGGGATTGAAAACAATTTGGGAAAGTTGGAATCTTATTGAGAGGCAAGCTTTTCAGCAGACTTATGGGGATATATTTCATCTGATATACGTGAAGGTAGACCCGATTCTCATACGAAGCATAATACAGTTTTGGAATCCGGCCTATAGTTGTTTCACATTTAACCGAGAGGACATGACTCCAACCCTCGAGGAATACCACTTTCTGTTGAATTTGTCAAGCGTTAAAATAGACAAAGTTTACTCCCGATCGATAAAAGGGCCTTCTCTTAAGTCAAAGCTTGCAAAGATCTCGGGCACGAGCGACAAATGGGTAATTGATCGCTTGCAACGAAAGGGAGAAAGTGAGGGAGTGCCGTGGTCTCACTTACAAAAGATAACTGAAGCACACGTAGATGAAAACGTGCGTAGAGATGTATTTGCTTTGGGTATATATGGTTTGGTAATCTTTCCAAAATGTTTGGGGCTGATCGAGCTAGCAGTAGTCGATTTGGTTGAGAAGTTAGGAAGAGAGGTGAATCCAGTCCATGCAATTCTTGCTGAAACTTTCCGATCTTTGAATATATGTAGAAGGTTGGGGGGAGGTCGTTTTATGGGTTGTGCTCAATTGCTTACTGTGTGGATCAGAAGCCATTTCTGGAAGGAAGAAAAAGTCAACTATAATCGTTTTTTGAAAGATTATTCTCCTGTTGCTGAGTACCTTACGAAGGAGTGGCTTGAAGTATCTCAGAAAGATCAATGGATTGATTTCTTCCGGAATCTACAAAGTCAAAACATAGCATGGCGAACACCGTGGCTGATGCATACACAAATCTTGTTCAAGTGTGGAGATTTGGACTGGATTATATTACTGGGACTGTGGGGAGGAGTGGGATACGCTCCTTTGTTGATATTGAGACAGTACGGTGCCCGACAGTTTGTTCCCGTGACTCATGGGTTGACTGGTGCTGAATTTGATTATAAAGAAGGCAATTATAGAAAGAAAATCAAAGATGTGGCTGATTCTTGGAGGATGACTTTTAGGACTAAAGTAATTGGAGCGGATGTTATCTTGACGCCTGATTATGAAGCCTGGAGAATCAGGAGGGTAAATGATAAAATACCTTTAACATCTGGAGAGGGATCAAGGTCGATAGAAGAACAAATCAGAAATATCCCTTCGAATTTGGAAATCCAAAGAATTGAGTTTGAAATGGAAAAGGCTAAAGATTCCAAGAAAATAGAAGAGATAGAGAGAGAAAACTTCATGTTGACTATCGAGGCTGATTTTCATGCCAGACAGTTTATAATGATGAGAGAACGGAAAGAGGAGGTGGAAGCCGATTTAG